TTCAGGATCTGCTCCCTGCTGGCTGGCGATCTGAGCAAATTTGTTCCCGTGCCCTGAAAAACGACTCCTGCGGCTTTAACTGTAAAACTCCTCACATTTGCAATGTAAGGGATTTGAAATTCATTTGCAAAGGCACTTGGAGAAATTTGAGATATTGGGATGTTGTTGTGTTCGGTTGGCTGCCATGTTCGCCTACAAGTACACAGTCCCTACACTTTACAGTAAATCCTGTGAAGCGCTTTGGGACGTCCTCCTGATGTGAAAGGCGCTGAACCAAATATAAGTATTATATTATTTTGATAATAATTATTACCTTTAATCACTCTTGAGACATTTTCGTGTGGGCCTGCAATTTGTTTTGCAACTGATCCGGTCCAAACATCTCAAAGCTCTTCACAGAAATGACAGTTGGGTGGGTGGATCATTATTGTAGGTAAACACAGCACTCTTTTGCGCATGGATTGATCCCACAGAAAAACATGATTTACAAAGTTTTACAAAGAACGTACAGCATCGAAAGCGACCACTTGGGCCTAACCAGTCTGTGTCAGTGTTTATACTCCACACCGTCGTGTGAAGATCTTCGAGACCTTCCTCTTTGACTGTGCCTTTAGCCATATTTCTCCTGCTACTCCGCGCCCCAACCCCACCCAACTGCGTCACCACCTTCTCTCCTAAACCCACCATATCTTTTCAAATATTGCAGTGCCAGAGCAACTTTAAATCCACCAAATGAACAAGCACATGACTTTGTTTTGTACGTTCCCCCCACCCCCCCCCCACACACACACACACACACAGAGTTATTGTTTGGCCACTGGAATCTCTTGAGCGGAGGAAATTGATAGGAATCAATTTTAAAATAATAATAAACCTTACATTTTGTAAAGCGTCTTTCATGTCAGGAGGATGTTCCATCCAATATCTCCCGAGTGTCCTGACCGACGATCCCCCAGATAAAACTAGTCCCTCGCTGCATGGCTGTTTGTGGACCATTGCTGTGCACAATTGGCTGCTTTAGGGAATCCACGCCTCCCACTTACAAATGCAAATTTGATAAGATTGTTAGAAGAGAACGCACAATCTCTCCCCAGAGGGATGCATTCGGCTTACCTAATTCCAGGCAGTTATTAGGCCCGGGGTGGCAAAAACCAAGGCTTGGGCACCCAGAGTGTGCGTTGGGGTAATTGCTAGTCTAACTGGCTAAGACTACATAGCTTGCCATCGATAGTGCTACCTGGTAAGGTTTCCCTCTACTTGTCCAGCTAGGACCACCCTACCCTTTAGGGCCTTTGGATGGCAGGGTTCACGGAGCCCAACACCCTCGTCAGGGCAGACACCGTACAGAGAGGAAGGTTCATAGCTGGAATGGGGTTGAAAGACTGAAGCCGGGACTTTGGGACACGTTTGGGACGCGAGACAGTCTGAACGTCCCCATTCATGCCGGCCTCGGGTGAATCATTCAATATAACAGTAATCCTTGCATCTGATACAGCGCCTTATCACATTGTCGAGATGTCTCATAGCACACCCACAGGATACACGGTAAAGCACGGCGACTTGTGTTTTGTGGGTGAAATGCAGCAGCCAATTTGCGCACGAGAGGAAAAAAAAAACAAGCCAGGAAAGCGAGGAAGACTTTCTCGCTTTCAAGGCATCAATACGGGTGTTCGGTAAAGAATTTGATGGGAGTGGTGTTGCGACACAAAATGCAATAGTGATTTTTTTTTAAAAACTTTTGGGGACCAGCCACATAGATTTGATGGGTCTATTGCACTGTGCAACTATCTCCAGTATCTTCTAACTCGCATGGAGTCTGTAAGCGGTTGGGTGCACTCAATGAAATATCCATTGCGTAGTACATGGCTGTATACGCACTCCCACCCACTTTCCTGAGCGCTGACCCAGGCAATGAGCATCGCAGGTAGAGAGAAGGGCAGTGAGTCTGGTCTGCTCTCGGAAACTCTCTGTGTATTATAACACCGTGTGTTACTGGCTATAACTCTCTGTGTATTATACAATAAGTGTGTTACTGGCTATAACACTGCATAGTGTAATGACAGTGTTACCAGCTATAACTCTGTATATTGTATAATAACACTTTATATTATATAACAGCACTGTGTTACTGGCTATAACATTGTACATTGTATAATAACTGTTACTGACTATAACTCTGTCTACTATACAATGACACACCGTGTTACTGGCTATAACACTGTATATTATATAATAAGACACTGTGTTACTGGCTATAACACTGTATATTATATAATAAGACACTGTGTTACTGTATATTAATAATAAGACACTGTGTTACTGGCTAACACTGTATATTATATAATAAGACACTGTGTTACTGGCTGAAACACTGTATGTTATATAATAACACGGTGTTACTGGCTATAACTGTGTTTTTTTAACAACAAAATTATATTTGTATATAAACTAAAGCTCTTCTCTCGTGGTCCAATCAACCAGGCCAGTTACGGTAAGTGTTTGTGCGACTTCGGGAACCACGTTAGAGAAAGGATACTATATGGCTATGGAGATGATGATAAATGAGATGAAAGAACAGTGTAATAACAATCCGTACATTTGATAAAAGCAGCTTATCGTGTCATCGAGACATCTCAAAGCCCTTCACACAAAATACTGTGTATTTTGTGGGCGAAATGCGGCAGACAATTTGCACACAGCAGCGTCCCACAAAGAGCAATGCAGGGAGTGACCACTTTTATTGGGGGGATTGCTGGCCGGGACCCACGGGAGACAGAGACAGAGAGAAACGCCCTTCTCTTTTCGAATGGTGCCACGGAATCCCTTAACATCCACCTGAACAGGGCACAGACGAGGCCTCGGTTTAACGTCTCATCCTAAAGCGACGCAGCCCCTCCCTCCCGCCAGCGCCGCGTTGGATTGTCAACCGAGCCCAGGGGTCTCCGTAGTCGATCACAGCGAGGTGGCGAGTCGAGCATTGTCAATAAAAACAAGAGGAAGGATCGATGTTTGGTGCAGTTTGCACAATAAAGTGTACACTTTTATTCCGAGATGCATGAAATACTTTGTGCATCTGACTTCCTTATCAATTGGACTTAAATAAATACAGTTCTGTCCCTCCTTCCTCTGGTCTTTCTGATCATATGCCACAGCGCCACCTCACGGTGATCGACCTGTTGGGAGACCCCCTGACCTGGACCACAGGTGTTCCAAGTTCCCAACGTGGGGTTTAAACCTTCAGACTCGCAGACGGCAATGCTGCTCTTCTGAGCCAAGAGGCTGATGTGGGGAGAGGAGATGAGGCCTTTTTACCCCGGGGGAGCAGTGAGGAGTGATCTCCGCCAATACCTCTCTCCGAAAGCCGCTGAAACCCTGGTCCGTGCCTTTGTCACCTCTCGGCTGGACTACTCTAACGCCCTCCGCGCCGGTCTCCCCTCCACTACCCCATCCATAAAATCCAGATTATACAAAACTCTGCCGCCCCCATTCTCACCCGCACCAAACCCCGCTCCCCGATCCCCCCCAAGTCCTGGTCAGACTGCCCTGACCGCCTGTCCCAGAGAGGATCGATTTCAAGATCCTCACCCTGGTATCCCTCCACTCCTCTGCACCCCCCGACCTCTCTGACCTCCTCTCTCCTCAAAACAGTACGTTGCCTTTGTTCCTCCGGGTCTGACCTCCTCCTCGTCCCCCCGAGTCCTCCGCTCCACCCTCGGCGGCCGTTGCCTTCAGCCACTATGCCCCGAGGCTCTGGAACTGCCTTCCTCACTCCCTTCCCCCCGCCCCCTCTATTCCTATGTTCAGGTCTCCGCTGAAGACCTTTCTCTTCGACCGCGCCTTTGGTCACCTTCCTCCCCCTCCCCCCGGCTCGGCCCCGGGATCCGTTACTGTGAGGCGCTCCGAGACGCCGTCCGGCGTGGAGGGTTGTTGTTGTTGATACGATGGAGGTGTTTCTGATAACCGAAAGGGTTTTCCGGTTTAAATCATGAAAAACCGTATCCACTGACAGAGGACTCAGAAACAAGTGGCTAAGAGTTAGAAGTGATTGGTGAGTCAACATCTGGAGGGAATCAAGTTAAGATGGTTAGTAAGCCAACAAATGGGGAGGTGAGGAGAAATGTTTTCACGCACAGGGTATAGAATGAGCGGCCAGGAGGTGGTGACTGAGGCAGAATCCATATCGTCCTTCAAGAGTGAACTGAGCACATACCTCAAAAAGAGTCAGCTACAGGAGTAACGAGGGGAACAGGACAGGGAAATGGGACTCAAAAGGATTTCTCTTAAAGAAGCAGCACAGATACGACGGGCCAAGTGTACCCTTTCTAAGCCGTAAATTTCACCCAAGGCTTCTACGATGTGGGAGGAAAAGGAGATGCTCAAAAGTGGGAGTTTGGTAAAGAAATCGAGAAGGTTTTCTTCTCCCGTTGGGTTGTCCCGCTGTGGAATAATTTGTTGGGTGGGGGGGGAATGTAGACAGCAGGCGATTAAGGGTCAAAAAGGAATTTGAGAAGCACAGGGGCAGAGAGAGGGTAACAGAGGGTGCAGTGAAATGGGTTTAGGGTGGAGGCACAAACACCAACACAAAATATAAAATGAGTCAAATGCACTTTCTCCCACTGTGTTACATCCCTATGGTTACACAAACCTCCTTGACAATGTCCGTCCACACTCCCAGGTCAGGTTTAGAGGCAGCGTTAAGCTCCCTCTACACTGTGCGTCCACACTCCCAAGTCAAGGTAAGAGACAGAGTAAAGTTCCCTCTACACTACCGTGCGTCCACACTCCCAGGTCAGTGACAGGACGGGTTAGAGACGGAGCGACGCTTTTTACTGTCTGCTTGAGACTCGCTACCCGGAACACACGGAGCAAAGTACCCGAGCCCTCAGTCACTGCCCGTTGGTGACACGCTGCAGTCATGGGGGCCTGAGAGTGCGAGAGACAGAAACAGAGGGTCAGAGATAAATAATACACAAACATACACAGACTCAGACACACACAAACACACATAAAGACTGACAAAGACAGCGAAATACAAACAGAGACAGAGAGTGAGAGACAGCGAGCCCTGGGCAGATATGAAAGGTATTCGACATAGGTGCGGAACCCCTGGCAGTGAGTAAATGGTTAAACAGGGCGGGCAGCAGTGAGCCCCAGCTGAGCCTCGGTTGGGGAGGTGGGTCTCTCAGTTGGGGGGAGGCTCGAGGTTGCCACTCGTGGCTCGTTGCAGTTTCTCACACGCCGCCCGGTGCCGCAGGAAGCTGTCCCTCCACATGAACTTCTTGCCGCACACGTGGCAGCCGAAGGGCTTGTGGCCGGTGTGGATCTTCATGTGCTCCACCAGGTGGTGCTTCATCTTGAACTTCTTCCCGCAGGCGGAGCAGCCGAAAGGTCTGAGGTTCAGGTGCATGTTGACGTGACGGTCCCGCTGGCTCTTGTGGGTGAAGGTCTTTCCGCAGTGACAGGCGAAGGCCTTGGGGGCTCCGGTGCCAGCCGGGGGCTGCACCGGGCCATGCCGCAGGTCCCCCCCCGCCCCCGGCACCCCCATCCCGCCCCCAGCCTGCAGCAGCAGGGGCAGCGGGTAAGCCCCGCCACCTCGCGGGCTCTCGTCCAGCCCCCCTTCATAGCCCAGCTCCTCCGAGGAACCGTAGAAATAGTCGGGCTGTTCGTCGCTGCCCCCTGCCCCGCCAGCCAACGTACGGACCCCCGCAATGCTGAGCTGCCGAAGACCCTCCTCCCCACCCACCCGCGGCCCCTTCAAAAAGTGCTGCCCGTCCTCCTCGCATGTCAGCACCAGGTCCTCCTCGGGCCTCTCCTTCTTCACGTACACCCAGCGCCCGAGCGGGGGCGGCTGGGCCAGAGGCAGCCGTGGGTACAGACTGTCTGGGCTGCGACTGCTGCTCTCGCCTTCCTCTTCCTCCTCCTCCTCCTCCCCCCCCCTGGCTGGCTCGGCCTCCCCAGCCCCCAGGGGCTGGTAGTCGCTGCCCGTCACGGCACCCCCGTCCCGGTCCTTGACGAAGCCGGTCTCCTCCTCCTCCTCCGAGCCCTCAGACTTGGCCTCCCGTGGCCTGGGCCTGGCTGCTTCCCGGGGGCTGAAGTAGTTGTTGCTGCTGCTGCTAGGGGACTGATTCTCAGTCGCGCGGGCTCCCCGGGGCCCGGGGCCAGTGCTGGGGGGAAGACCCTCTCGCAGCAGCTCGGTGCACTTGTCCACAATGTGCCACATCTGCAGGAAACTGCCCACCGTCAGGAAGCTGACGATGTCCGCGGGGGGCACGGCGAGCCGGCCGGTGTAGGAGGAGGTCAGGACGCTCTCGAAAGCCCCGGGGTCCATGGCCCCGGGTAGCACGATGCGGCTGGCGTTACGGAACAGCACCTGGTCGTGGAAGTAGGGGGAGGAAGCGGCCAGCACGGCTCGGTGGGCTTTGAAGACTCGGCCCTGAACCTGGATGGAGATGTCGCAGAACTTGCCCTCCGCCCTCTGCCGGTTGAGACTCTCCAGGAGGCTGTTGCCAAAGTTGGGGAAGTCCACGTACAGCATGTCTCTCCCCCCCACCCAGTGGCCGCTTTACGTCAAAGCCTGTCTTCCCGCTCTGAGAGGAGCAACGCACACAAGAGAGAAAAGAAAGTTGTTAAAACGATGATCGCTCTGGGTAACACAGCAGAGGAGGAGAGAAACTCTTCTCTTCTTCCAATAGCGTCACTCTAACGCAGGGACACAGCAACAAATTACATTTGTTTAGCGCCTTTCACATCGGGAGGATGTCCCAAGGCGCCGGATATCATAGAATCATAGGACTGTACAGCACAGAAGGCCATTTGGCCCATCGTGTCTGTGCCGGGCTCTTTGAA